CACCCAAAGAGGTTCTGGAAAATACATATGCTCAAGCCCCACCCCACACCTCCTGTATCAGAAAACCTGCAGTTTAGCCTTAGAATGCAGGCCCTCAAGCGCTATCTCTAAATTCTAAATTGCTAGGTTGAGGATAAGACCTGGGTAGACTTCCCCACAAATGCAGTTTGGCCTCTGACTCTGCAACATTACAAGCTCAAGGGAAGGCATTTCTAGCTAGCAAAATTGGGTCAGTCCGAAAAAAAAAAAGGAATTTAAGATTATTCCATCTTTCCATATTATTCAATGTAATGTGGGTAGAGTGCTTGAAATGCGGCGGGTAGTCACGTGCATGCCTGTGTGCATGTGTGCATATGTATGCAGGATGTAGGAACTGAGAGAAGGGACAGGAGCTGCTTTGGGGTCAAGCCCAGTGGATGGTGGGTAGTTTAACTGGGACTCTTAGGATCAAGAGCCTGAAACCCAGTTTGAGTTGCCTTAAGCGGGTGGTGGGGGGCCTGTGTGAGGGTGCTGTGGGCTGAACTGTGTGCCCTTCAAATTCTTATGTTGAAGTCCTAACCCCCAGTGCTCCAGAATGTGACCTTACTTGGAGACAGGGTCTTTAAAGAGGTGACTAAGTTAACATGAGGTCATTAGGGTGGGCCCTGACCCAGTATGACTGGTGTCTTTATAAGAAGAGGAGATTAGGACACAGACACACACAGAGGGAAGCCTACAGGGGGACAAAGGGAGAAGACGGCCTCAGAGGAGACCAACCCGCCAACACCTTGATCTTGGATTTCTAGACTCTAGAACTGTGAGAAATTAAATTTCTATTGTTTAAAAAGCCACATTGTTATGGTGACCCTAGAAAACTAACACAGGGAAGGAATGGGGGAAGTGGAAAGGGTTAGGGTGTCACCGAACCAACCCCCTGGGAGCAGGGTGGACCTGGCCTTAGGGACAGTTGATCTCAGGGACTGACAGCCCTCCCTGCTCCCTCCTGTATCTTGTGTTCTGGCTCTGGGTCTGTCTCGTTCTCTCGGGCATCTTCTGGTGGGAGACACATGGCGGCCTGCAATTCTGGGGCACGTCTCATAGCTCAAGATCCAGAGGAAAGCCAGACCTCACCTTCCACTCACGAATTCGAACCGTCTAGGTAGGGATTCTGATTCTGCCTGCTCGCATCTCAGGGTCACTCCTGGGGCCATTTGCAGTGGTCAGGGGGCTAAGGGGCTGGGAGCTTCCAGCAGGGATCATGTGATCACCCTGAAGGCGAGGGAGGGGGCGATGGCGACGGTGGAGGTTGTAGGACAATAGGGCATCGTGCTGAGCAGAGCCCCACTCCCGAGAATGACAGGCAGCAAGCATGGAGCGATCCCCCAAGGCCGGCAGAGGAGGGGAAGGGGTGCTCGGCAGAGATGCTGAGGTCCACATGGGGGAAGGCAGTGGCCGCAAGGTCTGTGTCTGTCTACGGCCAAGCCTGGTGGGAGTGGGACAGTCAGCGCCTGTCACGCCTCCAGCTTCCAGCGTGGCGGGAAGAGCAGGCGGGCTGGTTCCTCAGCTACCGTCAGGCTCCATCACTAATTTGCTTGTTTCCTGGTTTGTCTGTTTTTTGTTTTTGTTTTTTTTAATAAAATGGGGCTGATGGAGGTGTGGTGTGAGATGAGCTATTGTAAATACTCAAGCAGAGCATGCTGGTTCCTAAATTAGTATCTTGTTTTAAGTCTCTGCTCACAGAGTTGCCTTTGTCCTTGAAACCCATAATTTACAGAGCAATTTTCTGTCAGGTGGAGGGAGTGGATCTGGCTTCCGGGAACACCATACTTAACAACGGGATATCTCTTCAGCCCTGGGAACTTCTGGCTTCAGGATTTTTTTTACTGTAAAGAGCTGGGTGTGGCCAGCCAGCCTTAGGCCAGTGGGTACAGCCCAGACTCTGCAGAGAGCCCGTCTGCAGTGCTAAGATCCCAGCTCCCAGGCCTAGCTCAGGACTCTGGGAATCTGTGTAATGTCGCTGTGCCTCAGTTTCCGCATCCGTCCGATGGGAAAAACAATGCCCACCTGCAGGGGTGGCTGGGGGGATGAAAAGGTCAAAAACACGACCTGCTGTGGTTCTTTGCTGGGGGTGATGTTTGCTTCCCCTGGAGACACTTGGCAATGCCGGCAGACATTTGGGGCTCCCATGACTGGTGGGGGAATGCTACTGGCTTCTAGTGAATGAAGGCGAGGGAGGCTGCTAGACATCCTGCAACACGCAAGCCAGCCTTCCGCCCTCCGCCCTCCAAAGTGCGGCCAGGATGTCTGCCTTGCCGAGGCTGAGAAACCCTGCCGCAAAGGACAGGGCAAATGTCCCGTCACTGTTGGCTGTTGTTACATCTCATCTCTGAATTCTCATTTCTGTTTCTGGTGCTCCTGTGAGCTGCCAGGTGCTGGGACTCAAGTTTCCTTCCCTCTTTGAATATCAGGGGGCTCCTCTTCCTGGAGTCTGGCTGCCCTGCCCCACAGCTGGGGAGTGGAAGCACCCCTCAGGGAAGAACCCCCCACCTCTCCACCTCCTGGGCCACGTCGGAGGGCCTACGGCCACACGGCCCCCTAAGCGCCACCAGGCACTCTCTTCTCCTGCCAGTGCATGTGTGCCCCTCAGGACATGAGCCTTGGTGGGCTGACCCCACCCCCGGTGGGCTTGTGACCCCATCCCACTGAGGCAATGAGATTCCACCTGAGACGTTGCTAGGACTACCAGGTGAGAGCCTCTGTCCTGTGCAGGGGATGCTGAGCTGGGAGGTTGTGTGTCTTCGTGGAAATTTTGCCAAGAATTGGGATCAACCTCTCTGGGAATGGACCTGACGCAGAGAAAAGCAAAGCCAAGGGATAAAGAAAGATGAAGACCCTGAAGATATCACTGGACACTCCAGATCCGGCTGAGTCCAAAGCCAGTGGTAGTCCTGGACTGGTCTTCACACGAACCAGTACATTCCTTTTTCTTCTTAAACCAGTTTTTGAGTTGGGGTTTGTCACCTGTTGCTGGCTACTACAGAAATCCCATCTGTCCTAGGGTCTTGTTTTTGCCCCAGTCGTGGAATCCTCTTTCCTTTCCTCTTAATCTGCTGAACTCTCGCCCCGGCCTCACTTCCTCTTGACTGCAGTGAATCCCCATAAGATGAGCTCGCTGATTACCAGCTACCCCTGCTCTCAGGACTGGTCACAGTTATAACTGCACATTGCTCAGGAGTATTTGATATACGTCTCTCTTCCCCACTGGATGGGGAGCTCCGTGCGGGCAGAGGCTGGGCGGGATCTCACTCCCACTGCATCCTCAGCACTGAGCTCAGAGTCAGTCTGCCTGGAATGTTCTTCCCCTGACCTTTGAGGGCTGGCTCCTTCTCAGAACTTAACGTCTCAGCTCAAAAGTCCTCTGGGACCCCCCACCCCCACCCCTCCATCACTCTTCTCACTTAGCACGTCTGAAATCAGTCATCCCAGTCACGGATGAGTTTGTTGCCTTCCTTCGCTGGGTTACATAAGTTCTGCCACTGTCTCTCCAGCACCGGGAATGGGCCTTGGCCTCCACGAGGTTCGCTGACTCAGTATGTGTGGTCAACCTGCTGAAACAGGCCATCCCCAGGCCTGTCTCACGGTGTCTTCTCACTCTTCCAAATCCTCCACGTTCAATGCACACTTCCCGAGCATTCACGCCCTGCCTGACTTTAGCAATCAGCCAGGAGTTGGGCTGGGTTCCTGTCCCAGGAGAAGCGTACAGCCTGGTTCACCAGAGTGGGGTTCCATCAGGGCCAGTCAAACACCTGGGTGGAGCCCTCTGACCAGCCCCTGCCTCCTGTGATTTGGGCTTTGCCAGGAGTGCCCTGCTGTCTGCCATGATCTTGGTACTCTGTGTGTGTCTCTGGACCAGCAGCACAACCTGGGCGTGTGCTAGAAATGCTGAGTCTCAGGCCCCATCCCAGACCTCCAGAGCCAGCACCTTCATTCCAAAAGCGCCTGTCCCTCCCGGGCACATGTTAACGTCTGAGACGTGCTGTGCTAGGACGGCTGTGATTCCACCGCTGCTGTGGACCGAATGTCTGCATCCTCCCAAAGTTCATATGTGAAAACCCCTAACCCCCAGTGTGATGGTATTAGATGGGCCTTTGGGACTTGATTGGGTCACAAGGGTGGGGCTCTCCCGATGGGGTCAGTGCCCTTATGAGAAGAGACTCCAGAGGGCGCCCTTCCTCTCTCTCTGCCTCCACTCTGCGAGGACGCAATGAGAAGGCAGCCGAGAGCTCTCACTGAGGACTGGATTGGCCGGCAGCTGGATCTTGGGCTTCCCAGCCTTTGGAACATTGAGGAATGAATGTCTGCTGTGTAAGCACCCCCAGGCTCTGGGATTATGTTGTAGCAGCACAAGCTGCCTGGGACGACCACCGGCGATCTGTTCCGACCCCGGAAATGTAAATACCCCGGGAGGAGTGACACAATGAAACACATGCTGCTAAGGGAGGGGTGACTAAGGGAGGGAATTCCCTCCCGGGACAGGAGGCAGCGCTCAGACACAGGCAGCAAGTGCTGGGCTTTTCCAGCAGGAAAGAACACCCCTGAACTCCATTTTGAGTGAAGCCACCTGGCAAGGCAAGTCCTGTGCTGAAGGTGGGGGTTGAGGGTGGAGTCATCAACATTACCAGGGTGTGGGGTGCCCAGTGGGGAGGAACAAGCCTGGGATTTGGAGACAGATGACTAAGTTTGAGTCCCTGTAACTTCTTAGCTTTATGGAGCTAGGTAAGCCCCTCAGAGCTTTCCAGCCTCAGTTTCTCCATCTATGAAATGGGTTAATACTCTCCCCTCTCAAGGAAGCTGTTGGAGAGAGGAAGGTATAGTTCAGTGGAAGAGTGCCTGCTTAGCATGCACAAGGTTCTGGGCTCAATCCCCAGTACCTCCATTAAAGAAACTCCAGTTACCCGCCCCCCAAAACAAAGAAGCCGTTGGGAAAACTGAGAACCCAGAGAAAAAGGCCACCTCATCAGTGAAGTGTTGTGTAGTAGTGTTTATTGTTACAGTGTTAAAACTCACTCTTGGGAAGACCTTCGGGGCCACGACCAGCAGCTAAAGGTCGGGAACATCATCTCTGCTCGCGGACAACCCGTTTCCTTTGCAGCCGCAACCTTCCTAGGGTGTTAGGGCTCAGGAAATTCTCAACAGCCAACCGCCGGGAGTAATGTTAGTGTCAGGAGATGCTATTTCCCACATGCCTTCTTTTTCTTGCCACCCACCTGCCAGGAGACTGCTGGAGCCTTGAAGGGCAGAGCGGAAGTGAAGGTGCCCAGCGACTTTTGACAGGACAGGGGAGAGCTAGGCTTAGAGCAGTACAGGGTGCTGGTGCCCCTGCCATGAGCACTCAAGTCACATCTTGCCAAACCGTCCCGTTCTGCCAGACACAGCCCAGTTCAGTGACCTCAGGATTTGGGGTCACTGTTCTGAGGCCCCTCCTGCTGGCTGGGGTGTGTGGAGACCCCTTCCCCTCGGCTTCATCTGATCCAGGTTCTCCCGTGGCTTTCCCCTGCCTCCTGCAGTCTGGAGTCCGATGACTGTGAAGCTGAGGCAGATTTCTGGAAGAAAGGCTCTGCTCAGCCAAGGACAAAGGGGCCTCTCAGAGGCATCTGGGGTCAGGAAGTTGAGTCCACCTGGCAGGTGCCTTCTGATGGCTCTGTCCTGCAGCTTCTGGGAGGAGTAGGGGGTGTCTCTGCCTACCCTGGTTCTCTCCAACCTCTGGCACCAACAACCTCTTTTTAAGGAGCCAGCATCCCTGGGCATAGGTGACACCTCTCAGAGAAACACATATGGTTCCCAGGTCCAGATGCCATGTTACTCTTTAAGGACCAAGACCACAATTCAGGCCATTTAGACAGGATGTGGCAATGGCAGGTCACTGTTCTGTGGGTGGCCGCTCTGCCAGCCTTTGTTAACCAGCTATCAGGCCCTCTCTGCCAAGTCTCTCTGCACCCTCTGCTCTTCCTGCCTGTTCTTAAAGCAGAGTTGACATTCAGGAATTTTTTTTTCCCAGCGGACAAAGCTCACCTGATTTAACTCTGTGTGGAGGTTTTTAATTTATCAGCCAACCCAACCTCATGTTGAAAAGCCAGCTCCAAATGCTCGCCTGGCTGCCAGGGATACAGAGCATCGGGGAAGAATCTGCTGTCAGGGCATCATTTGGACCAAAAGGTATACCTGTGGTTGCCTGCATTGCCCGAGGCCTGCCGCCCTAATGCTGCGAATGTTTTGGGCAATGAATGCCACCCCTGCCAGTGACCACCCTCCATTGTCCATTTACCCGTCTTGTCCCCAGTGGGACTGAGTCGGGGAACAGTTCATTGGTTTCAGATAATCAGACCAGCATTCAGGCACCTGTCTGTCTGCTATTCCCACTCCCGACACGGGGATCACTGCCCTCTGGGCTTGCTGCTTCCCCGAGAGGCAGATCCAGGGGTCCCTGGTCACCCAGCCTGGAGACTGGCTCGGGAGTGACCTGTGGGTCAGGGGAGAGGGAGGTTTAACTCCCCTCTCCGGGCCGCGGGGTTCTGCAGCCTCAGGCCCCGTGCATGTCGCTGAATGTCATACAGGTACTGGGTTTGGAACTTCAGCAAAGCCAGGTCAGGTTCCAGAACTCGGCCTGTCAGGCCCTGGAATCAGAAGTGTTTCCCTGGGAGGCCAAACATTCAGCCAAAAGGGAGCCTCCACCGGCCCACCTACTAGGCATTCGGTTTCCAGGGTAGGAAAGGCTGTGATTGTGCTCAGGTTAGAGAGAGAGAAAAAACCCCACGGCCTCAGGCCTCAGGGAGGAGTCGTTCCCAAGTTCATCGGACCTTAGTCTGTGCTTTTCTTGTGAGGGGAAATAAATCATTGCGTTGAAGAAGAGGTGCTTTGCTGGTTCTCGGAGGCTGACACCTGTCGAGTTTTGGAAATTCAAACCTCTCAGGGACCGTCGGTGCAAAAGGCTTCAATGGGGTCAAGCATCATGGTTCCAGCAAGTGATCTGCTTTGAAAACCGGAGTGTAAGTAGGACCCAATTCCTTCTGTCCTTCCCTAATCGTTCCTCAGCATCGAGGTCAATGAACTCAAGCCTGAACATGTGCAAACTGGTTTTCAAGGCTTGTGCACATGGGATTTTCCCTTTTTGGGGGGGTCAAGTCCTCCTGGGGGCTCTAGAGTCTGAACAACAAAATTCCTTGTGCTCCTTTTGCACACGGCTCCAACCCAAACAGCAGGAGTGAACCAGTTCACTATCAGTTCTGTGCTGTGAATGGGAAATTAGACACCCTCCCTGGACCCCGGAACTTCCCACCTGTCTCCTGAGAGGTTACAAAGTGTTACAGATGTTAGCAAGTATTAATCCTCACAACGTCCCCGGGAGGGAGCCAGAAGTATTGTAGATGAAGATGCTGAGCCACAGAGAGGTGAGGCCACTGGGAAGAAGCCACACAGGAAAAGAGCAGCCGAGTGAAGAAGAGGGCTGGGGGTCCTCTCCTCCACGACCTGCGAGATTCCGCTCAGTTAGGGCATTGGCAGCATACCTGTGTGTCAGGTGACAGAGGTGTCTCAAGGAGGATCGTTGGGTTAACAATGACAAGCACTCCCCTGCTCCCAGTCCCAAACCCACTGGCACACTTGGTGTCACCGACCTAACTCAGGATACCTGCATTTCCTGGGAATGTTGCTGCCCAGCCCCGCCCCCGCAGGGGTCACCGCCTGCCTCCACCCAGTGTGGCCGCTCCTGAAGGATGTGGGTAAGTAGCCCTTCAACTTGTCCACCCCCATGTGACACACGGCTTTTGGGGTGGGAGGGAATGGCCTTCCCATTTTGCACTCTCCCAAGAGAGACACAGCGACCCAAGTCAGAAGCCACGTCCTCCCTCAGTCATGGGGTGGGGGGCACGTGTACTGGGGCCGAGACGTCCACCAGGCCGGCCAGAAGGGCGCACGTGGTGACCAGTCAGCCTCAGGCTTTGCTAGCTCCTGGCGCTGTCACTACCCGGCTCCGTACGTCTGGTTGGAGTCCCACTTGCTCCTCCTGGGAGGGTGTTTTGGGGGACTATGTGCCTTTTCCCACCGTGACAGCTCAGTTCAAGGCCCCCGGGACCACTTGGACTGCTCAGTGGCTGAGTCGTTCTGAGATGCAGCCTCGATTCCGCAGGGGCTGGGCGCCCCCGCAGGTCCTCTGGGCCAGTCTCCTTCCAGCGAGCAGGGAAGCCCGTGGCCCGCTCAGGGCAGGCAGGCTGGTGCCTCCTCGTTCCTCGGTGCTCCCATCCAAAGTGACAGCGGTCTATTGGGGTTTGCCCAGGACTAGGGGAGCACCCTCAGCCCAAGGTCACTATGTACAGTGGTGGCAACCTCTGGCTGCTCTTCTGCCCTGGGTCCCTCCATGCTGGGTCTGGTGCAGCATTGGTTCCTTACACGTTGGTGACCTCCAGGCCGTTGTACCCTTCCAGACGGCACTGCTCTGGCCTACCCTGGGAGTCATCGTCTCCGCAATCTTCGTTTTGAAGGGAGCCGTAGTCATCGTGGAAATCGGGGTCTTTGCTGCTGAAGCCCCTTCCTATCTTTCCCAGGGGCAGCTGTGAAGAGAGGGATGAGAACAAAGGACAGGGAGAAGAGAAAAAAGAATCGAATATTCTTGGATCTGGGAAATGCGGGCTCTCCAATTTGAACTGCTGTGTGACTTTGAGTAACTCACCTAACCACTCTGTGCTCCTCCTATTTAGCAATAATATTCCACTGCTCAGGGAGACTGAGAAGATTTTGTGAGTTAACATCGGGAGAGAGCTTTGTGTTCCTAACTGGAAGGAACCAGTTGGTTACCAAGGGTGAAGACAAATACAGTCTTTCTGATTATCCACCTTCCTCCTCAGCAGGGAGAGAGGTGAGAATTGGTGTGGGCATGAGGTTCGGCTGCATTCCCAGATCAAGAAGAAATACTCCACCATCACTTGGTGTGGCAGAGAGTGTGGGTTTTGGACACTCGCAAACTGGGGTTTGTATCCCTGCTCTGCCACTTCCCAGCTGTGTGACTTTGGACAAGTCACTCGCCCTCTCTGAGCTCAGTTTTCTCAGCTACAAAATGGGATTAATACTTCCTTTCCCCCATGGTATCTCACAGAGGAAAAAAATGTGACAATGAATATATATATGTTCATGTATAGCTGAAAAATTGTGCTCTACACTGGAATTTGACACATTGTAAAATGATCATAAATCAATAAAAAATGGTAAAAAAAAAATTCCTTTCTCCCAGAGTTGTTATGAAGAGTAGAAATCCCGCCTGTGGAGCACACGACATGGCAAGGTAGCTGTCGTAACTGCGCACAGTGGGCCCTCAAGGAGTATTTCTCTCTTACCATGAATAGACCTCCGCCATGGTAGCCGTGACAGTGCTCTGTAATTCTTTATCTGACTGCCTTTCTTTCCAGATCAGTGTTTCTCAACCTTCTTTTCATTATTGCCCCTCTTAAAAAGAAGACATTTTAGACACTTTCCCCCTAATCGCACTCCTGCTGTGAAATGTCCATACCACAGGGAGGCCATCCATCTGTTTATGTACCACGTGTGTACCTGCACTTTATGCATAAAAAGAGGAAGGTTTTTTTGTGTACTATCCACCCCCAGAACCAACTTTGATCCCTGTTGGGGGTGATATCACCCCCAATGGGAATACATATACTAGACCAAGAGGTCTAGGTACCGGGGGTGATTCATTCATGATTATCCCCCAGGCTCGGGATGTGCCTGGAATGCAGTTAGTCCACGAAAAGGTCTGCGGAATGACTGGAAGAGTTTTTGAATTAGCCACCTCTGCCACCTGTGTCTACACACCTCCATCGGAACCTGTGTCGCCCTGAGCCTCCGTGGTCAGACCCAACTGCCTGTGTTTTCATGCACCAGAGGCGCATCCGCTGCTCTCGGTCAGGTCCCTGGAGCTGGTGACTCTCAGAGGTCGGGGTGGGTTGGAACCCTCTGCAGGGCACTCAGGGCCCCCTTGCCCCGAAGGCCCTTGTGTCATTTGGCCCAAGTGGGCCCCAGAATCTGCATGTGAAGCAGCCGCCCAGGTGAGTCTGACACGGGCAGGTGAGACCTGCACTTTGAGATACACTAAGCCTCGTGGGGCCTTTGTCACTGCGTCTTAACCACCATGCAGGTCCCTTGAAGGTGGCTTCTGGGGCCTCTCTCCTGGCTACACCTGTGACCTGGCCCATTGGCTCCCCATCCACAAGCCAAGACAGAAGCTGGGAGAGGGCAACGGGGGCTCAGACAACAAAAAGTCCTTTCCGAGGCTGCGGGACTCCCAGGGGAATGCATGGGGCGACCTACCCGGCCAGCCTTGTACTTGATCCCACCGCTGTTCTCCTCCTTCCCAGCCCGGGTGACGCTGGAGGCCCTCCCGGGGGGCGTTCCGAATCGCTCAGCCTCCCGGATGCCTGCGGAGCTGGGGAGAGACCCACTTTGAGACAGCAGTGGGGGGCGGTCAGCTGCTGCCACCCAGAGACACTCGCTCTCGCTCACTCCCTCACTTTGGTCACAGTGGCCGTAAGTGCAGTTTGCTGAGTGCCTCCTCTGTGCCGCCACCGTGCTAAGCACCTTGTAAACCCAACCCTCACGGCGCACCTAGAGGTCAGGCTGCCATGCCTGCCCTGCTGATGGGGAAAAGGGGCACAGAGGGGTTAAGCAATCTGCCCAGGGTTGCACAGCAGGCAGTGCCAGAGCCAAGACCTGAGCCCCAGTCTCAGAGACTCCAAAGTCTCTCTTAACCACCCCCTCCAGTGTGCTGCAAACCCCATCAGGGAAGGGGAGACCTGATGGGAGAACCCCTACATTTTAACTGATTGGGTGTGCCTTGAGAAGCATCAGGAAAGCTTCCTGTTGCCTGAAGTTACCCCCATGACTCCCTTCTTTGCATAGAAGCATCGAAAGCTTCTGTTAGATTAGGATTTGGCAAACTACAGCCTGTGGGCCGAACCCAGCCGGCTGACTGATTTTGTAAACAAAGTTTTATTGGAACCCAGTCCATTCGTTTGCACGTTGTCTGTGGTTGCTTCCTTGCGATCACGGCAGAGTTGTCTACTTTTGACATGGACTCTGTGACTCCCAAGTACTCACATAGTTACTACCTGGCCTGTGATGGAGAAAGTCTGCCAGCCCCTGTGTTAGATCTCAGTGCTGCGACGCACAGAGTACGGCATTGGGGCAAGAAGCTGGTTCAGAACCAGGAGATCTGAACTTAGTTCTCCCAGCTGCCTTCCTTCTGTTCTAGATTTTGGGCAAATCACTGCATCCCTGGGGCTCTTGTCTTTCTCTCTTTGCCTGCAGGGTAGACCCCAGCAATGACAGCGGTTTCTGCACCTTCTCGGTCAACCTCGCCAATCCCGAGATGCTTATGTCGATATCTTTCTTGGGGCTTTAGTGGCTTTGAAATCCTGGCTCTGCTCTTCATTGACTGCATGACCGTGAGCAAGTCACTTAATTTCTGAGAACTTGGGTGTCTGTATCTGCAAGATGGGGATCATTTTAGAGCCAACCTTGGGAAGGGGCCGTGAGAGTTAGTTAAAAAGTGCTTTGGAGCTTAGCTGGTGTCCAAGAAATGGCTAGGGTGATCGTAATTCACATTCATGGTTAAAACATATTACAAAGGAAGGGGCTTTGGCTGACAGGGGCTGGGGCTGTGAGCCTCAGCTCAGGCCACTGCAGAAGTGGAAACATGAAGAGAATGAACCTTCTAACATCTTTTATGCTGTGTCAGAGAAGCTCTGCTTCTTTCGGAGCAAATTTTGCTGAGAAATTTCAAGGGAGGGGAGGGTGGCATGCAGGGACAGCAGGGCTGCTGGGTGGCAGAGGAAACTGAGTTCTCAGATCCACAGGGGCCGGGGCTTCCTCACAACAGGGAGGATCTTGCTCCGTGGAAGGTCGGGAAATGAGGTCTTCACGGATGCCTGCCCTCTCTCCTCCACCTGGGGAGGGACTCCCCGGGTCTAGTGGGGAAGCTGTTTGTGCAGAAGCTATGAAAATCTAAACTCACACAGCCAGTTCTGTCTGTGGTCTTGTGTGAAGTGCATTCAATCCCCCTGACTCATGGACAGGAGCTGTTGGATGAGCTTGGGAGAACCCCAGAACCCCTTCTCTTGCTTTTACTGAAAAGGAAATGGGAGTCCAGAGAGGATGTGCGTCTCACCCAAGGATACACCTCCACTCGGGTTCGCTCTGCTCATCAGCCCGCGTCCAGCGTGGCGGGCCCACTTCATCTGTCCAGGTGTTTACTCTCTGGCCACTTATCAGATGAGGGGCCTGGGGCAGGTGGGCTGACACATCTGCTCACCTGGATGGTAAACCCCACTAACATGCCCATCCCTGTCTCCAAACATTTGTCCCACAGTTAGCCCTGCCTGGAATGGCCATCTCAGTCTCTCAGGCCAGTGCAAGCCCTCCCCACCCTCACCTGGCTTTCCTCACACACATGCTGGTCACTCTCCTTTCTCTAAATGTCCAGTTTAACCACACACGTTATTCAAAGCCTGACTGCCCCCCTACCACTTTCTAGTCTGTGATTCAGTCAAGCTAAAGCACTTTGATTCTCTGAGCCTCAGTTTCCTGGTCTGTGAAAGGAGACGGTTGTGTTGCAAAGAAACAAGTGGGACCCATCAAGGGAGGGGCCAGGATGGGAAGTCAGGACCGTCAGTGTCCCAAGCCCTGGGCTGCCGCCAGCAGCGCGCACTCACTTGGCCGGGTGGAAGATGGCGCTCATCTCCTCCGCCAGGTGTCTCCGGAGGATGTGCTTCCCGCTGGGGATGCCCAGGGCTGTGGCCATGGCCTCAGCGTTGAACGTGGGTTCCAGCACCAGCACGGCGCCGTGGACACCACTGTTGGTCAGGTTGTCTGCGTACTCCTGAAGGCAAGGCATGAGGGTGGTAAGCTGGCGGGGGTGGTGCTCGGTCCCCTGGGGACCAGTTAGTTTACTACTGAGGGGGAACCCCGCCGCCACTCTTTTAGGGCCACGAGAGCCACGACCGGATATTGTGTCACTGACATACCCCGACCTCGGCAGGCAGCCATAAACACCTGTTAAGTGAGAAGATGGATGTGGATTCAACCCCACACTTGCTTCAGACAGCGAGGGTGGCTCAGCACCCCTCCCCCACTGTGAGATGGGGTGCTGCTGTGGGGGCAGGGGGGAGGACTTCCCTCCTCCTGAGTGACAGGAGGCAGGGTATTCTTGCCAACCTGGGCAACGATGCCCCAGCCCACACAGAAACGGATACTGATTTGCACACAGACACACATGGGATTGGCATGTGCCCACGAGGCACCCCCACTCCCGCCACCACCCCTCACCTTCAGGTCAATGTCTCGCACCCACTTGAGCACCCGCTGGTTGGTCCAGACCACAGGGTCTATGTTCTGTGTCTCACAGCGGGCCCGGCGCTCCTGGAGGGCCTGGTGCAGGGGGAGAGAGGGGGTCAGCTGGGGGGACGAGGGAGCACGCCGGTGTCGCACGGGGAGCCAGGGTCCGCGGCGCTGGCAGGGACCTCAGCCTACTGACGCGGGGGGTCCTGGCCGGGCCATCCACAGCTGCTCAAGCTACATCAATCTGCGGCTCGACCTTCCACTCTGGGAAATGGGGAGAAGCCTGCTTCCGGAAGTGAAGGAGCCAGGAGGCAGAGACACCGGCACCTGGAGGGTGGGGCCGGGTGGGACTTTGTATATCCCAGCCCCCCTGCCATGGATTAGGAGCTCAGTGCATATTTGTTGAGGGGCGCCCCACAGCGAGGCCTTTTCTGTGTGGAGCTGAGTCCCCCCAGGTCCACCCAGCCTCTGGGGGGCAGCGACTGTCACTCTGGGACAAAACCTCCCCCATGGCCACCTGCAGAGGGGTCAGTGTGGAGTGCTTTCACAGGCCTCCTTGGGGACAAAGGGCTCCCGGGCCCACAATTCCTCCAGCGTGCCCTGAGCAGCCCGCAGCCCCCACGCCCATTTCTACATGTCACTGTCATGATCTTCCCACACATCTGCCTCCTGCACCGTATTGGGGCTCCCTGGGACCAGGGCCCATGTCCTCATCACTTCCTGGGCCCAGAGCTCTGTGTTGGGTGTTTGAGAAGGCCACGAAGCCCCTCTTCTGTCTGTCTCCTCCCAACCCTGAATTGCTTGTGCTCTGAGAGGGCTCTAAGAAAAGTAAGCCATCTGGACTCAGCCCCACAGAACCCAGCAGCCCAGGGCCCCTCCCTAGGGGGACTGTTTGGGGACATGTGCCAGTAGGTCTTGGGGGATCTGAAGCAGATGCCCCGGGCTCTCTGGCTTGGCAGCACTCAGAACAAGGAGACCAAACTCTGTAACACAGCCCACAGTCCCCTCCTTCTCTCTCAGCATCCCTGTTCACTCGCCCACCTCAAACGCAACACGGGAGCCACACAGGACTCTCAGTTCTGAGGCCACAGATCTGTCCCCTGGCCTTACTCTATGCTGTTCCCTCAGTGGAATGCTTTTCCCCTCATACCTTCTATTGACTGATCCCTGGAATTCCTCCTTCAGGTCTCAGATTAGCTGTCACTATCTCTGGGAAGGCTTTCTGATCTCTGGAAGCTTTTCCTCTGGGTTTCCATAAAACCCTGGGCTTTATGGGACAACCTTCCTTGGTGTTGTGGCCACCAGCTTCTTTGTGGTTCCCCATGATAAGCAGTGGGTCCTTGGAAGATGAGGGTTCCCTGTTTCCCCTGAATCGAGAGCAGGATCTGGCCCATACCCAAGAAGCAGTTGTTGGAAGAAGGGAGGGAAAGAGGAAGGGATGGACGGATGGATGGATGGATGGAGGGAGGAGCGGGCAGAAGGAGGCATGGATGGGCAGATGAGCAGATGGCTGGGTGGAAAGACAGTGGATGCAGAGGGGGAGCAGGGCTGTGGAGGTGCCCCTCCCCCATGCCCTGGTTCTCACCTCCCTGCTGAAGTTTACTTGGTACAGCAGCTCGATCCCCAGCAGGATGCTGACCTGGTGGAACTTCTTGGACACGTTCAGATGCTTCTCCAGGTCCCGCTTCATCAAGGAGTTCAGCATCCGCCCATCGACCAGGTGGTTCTGGAAGGCCTGGGAGTACTGGGACAGGCCGATGTCATTCAGCCAGGCCTTGGCCACCCAGTGATGGTCCAGGTCAGCGGCTTTGGACAGGCTGGTGAGGAGAGGCACAGCCAGAGAGAAGGATGGGGTGGGGGAGGTGGCATTAACAGAGGGACGGGGAGCAATGGGGCAGAGGTGGGCAGAGAAGGAGAGAGAGGGGCAAAACCAAAGGGTGGGCAGAGGACCAAGAAAGTCACAGATAGACAGGAACAGGGAGGGAGCAGAGACAGGAAGAGAGAGAGAGCAGAGATGGGGAGAGGTGGATGCAGGGAGTGGAGAGGAGAAGACAGGGAGAGACACAGGGACAAGGAGAGAGACAGAGACAGAGAAGGGGGGAGACAGAGACACCGAGAGACAGAGGGAGAGACAGAAACGGAGAGCGAGTCCCAAAGAACAGAAAAGGGATCAACAGACGGAGGGAACAGGAAAAGAGAAGAGACCGCATTCAGACACACCAAGAGTGGAAAGGGACAATGACAGAGCCGCAGGGACATATGCAGCAGGAGGCAGCACCTCTGGGGCCCCTGGCACCCCCACCTGAGGCCCACAAAGACTTCATCTGGCCTGTCTCTCCTCGGACTTTGCCCAGAGTCACACAGTGGTAAGTCTTAGAGTCAGAATTGACCCCATGTTGTGCTTATTCCAAGTCCTCTTCTCACTGCCATGTCTCAGATTTCTCTGTATCCACACAGAACTGAACCCAGTGCTATGCACGTATTGGGTGCTCAATGAGTGCGCCTCAAATGGACAGAAGGTGGGTGCTCCGGTGTGTGTGTGTGGGGGGGGTCCCCTCAGGTGTCATTCCCCTGCTCGCCACAGGGTGGCAGCCTCGCAGAAGGAGTGAGGACAGCGCCTCCCACCTGCAGAAGACATCGAGAAATGGCAGGTATGGGAGCCTCCCCAGGGGGACCACGACAGGATCCTGATGTGAAAGGGAAATGGTGGACTAACAGAGAGACGCCTGCCGCCCTCCTCCTCAGGCCTGGGATCAGGACCAGCAGAGGGAGCACCCCTCACCCACCCCCCAGCCTGGGTGGGGTGGAAGCAGTGAGGCGGTTTGCCCCATTGGCCACCACGCTGGAAAAGTGGGTGGGATTTTCAACCTCACCTGACTCAGCTTCCTCCTTTCTACTCTCCACCACTCACTCCAGGCACCATTGTCTCCCCCAGGACTGGTCTCCTTGCCTCTGGGGCCTCTCCCATTCCTTCCGCAGGACAGAGCTAGCAGATCCCGCCTCCGTCCTACTGGTCTCCTAGGCGGCTCCTCCTCCTCCTCGCGGTCTTTCCTTCATTCCAAGAATGTGTATTGAGCGGCTACTCAGCTCCATGCCAGGGGTAGATGTTGCCTTAAAGTGGGTACATCTTCCCTCGCAACCCCTTCCCTTCCCCACCCCCATACACTCCTGTCTCTGGCCAACAGCCATTTCCAGGGCTCTGCATCACTGCTGTAAAGGGAGACTCGAAATCCACACCTCCCGTCTCTCCTCTCTTCTGAGTCCCAGATTCTAACTAACTGCCCTCTTGGCATCTCCTCCTGTCACAGGCATCTCAGATTTAACAGGCTCCAAATGAAACGCCGGTCCCCTCTCTCAGCACTTCCCACCCCTGATGGTCATCCGTCTCCCCGCCCTCACCTGCCCTGCCTCGCCTCTCCTCTCCTCCTCCTCCCCCTCCATCTATCCATCACTCTGGTCAGTGTGCCTGACCCCCTTGTCTCCTTTTCTGGGTTCAAGTCATGGCCACCTCTGGCATAGATTTCCATTAACTACCTCCCTGACTGCTCCCACCACACCCCTTTGCCCCTTCTAGTCCACTTTCTCCATGGCTGCCAGATGGCCTTTCAAATACATCAGTCAGATCATGTCACTCCTCTGCTTAAAGCCCTCACTTAGAGGAAACTCGAACGCAGATTACTAAGTGAAAGAAGCCAATCTGAAAAGGCTACGTGCTGTATGATATTCTGGAAAAGGCAAAGCTATGGAGACACAAAAAGTTCCATGTTTTCCAGGGTTTGGATGAGGCGGCGATGAGTAGGTGAAGCACAGAGGATTTTTAGGGCAGTGAAACTGTTCAGTATAACATTGTAATAACGGATGATTTCCACTAAATGTTTGCCCAAATCCACAGAATAGACACCAAGAGTGAACCCTAATGTAAAGTAAGGACTTTGGATGACTATGATGTGTCAATGTAGGTTCAATGGCAGCCAATGTTCCACCTGCTGGGGGATACTGATAATGGAGGCTGTGCATGTGTGAAGGCAGGAGGGATGTGGGAAATCTCTGTAGCTTCTCAGTTTTGCTGTGAAACTAACACTGCTCTAAAAAATAAAGTCTTTAAAAATGAGGGAGGAAACAAAGACTTTTTAAACAAGTAAAACTGAAAGAATTTATTATCAGAAGAATGAACTACAATAAATGTAAAAGGAACTTCTTCAAGAGGAAATAAAATAATAACCATATGGAAATTTGGACTACGTAAGGGAGCAAAGAAAACTCCTAAAACTCAACAACAACCAAAAACCCCCAGAAACCACCTGATTCAGAAATGGGCAGAAGACTTGAATAGACATTTTCTCCAAAGATATAAGAATGGCCAATGGACCCATGAAAAGGTGTTCAACATCACTAATCATTAGGGAAATGCAAATCAAAACTATAATAAAATACCACTTCATACCCATTGGGATGGCCACTATCAAAAAACAAAACAAAACAAACAAACAAAAAAAAACCCCAAACAGAGAACAAGTGTTGTTGGCAAGGATGTGGAGAAATTGGAACTGTGCACTGTTGGTGAGAACATACAATGCTACAGCTGCTGTGGAAAACTAGTACAGTGGTTCCTCAGAAAATTAAAAATAGAGTTATCATATAATTCAGCAAAGCCACTTCTGAGTCTATACCCAAAAGAATTGAATTCAGGGTCTTGAAAGGATTTTTTTGTACACCCGTGTTCACAATAGCTAAAACATTGAAGTAACCGAAGTGTTCATTGGTGGATGAATTGATAATCAAAATGTGCTATATCTATACAATGGAATATTATTCAGCCTTCAAAAGGGAGGAGATTCTGACACCTGCTACAACATGGGTGAATCTTGAGGACAGTATGCTAAGTAAAATAAGCCAGTCACAAAAAGACAAATACTGTGTGATTCCACTTACATGAGGTACTCAGAGGTACTCAAATTCATACAGACAAAGTAGAGTGGTGGCCATTATACTTGGGGGAGGGGAGAATGGAGAGTCACATTTAATGGATGTAGAGTTTCAGTTTTACAAGATGAAAAGGGTTATTGGGATGGATGGTGGTAATGGTTGCACAACAGCATGAATGTACTTAATACCACTGAACTGCACACTTAAAAATGCTTAATGGGAGGGGAGAGATAGCTCAGTGGAAGAGCACATGCTTTGCATGTGTGAGGTCCTGGGTTCAATCCCCAGTACCTCCATCCAAAAAAAATAATTTAAAAAAACTAATCCCTGCCCCTGCAAAGAAACTAACAATAACAAAGAAGTCTAGCTCATAAGCCAGTAGTGGGAACACTCAATTAATAAAGAGTCAGTAAAAGAGGGAAAAAAGAACAGAGCAGGTTGAAATAAAACAAGAAACCTCTCCTGTGGCTCCCCTTTGCAGGAATAAAACCAGAAGTCCTTAGAGGGGCCTCACAGGGTCCAGGCTCCCATACCCACCGGGCTCAGGTTTTGGGGGTGCTTCCCAGATGCAATGAGTTCTTTGATCCTTGGGTGGTGAGGGTCTGCCCCCCCACCACCACACCTACTTCCTTCCAGCCCCACCCAGGCTCTCTTCTCACCCCCAGGTCTCTCCTCTCCACATGCAGGGGCTTGCTCTGACTATGCTGTCTGAACTCGCTCCCCTGACCTGCTGCTCTGCCTCTGGAAATTTCCTTTAAGGCACTAATCACACACGGAACTTTAAAAATGAATTCTCTGAGTCAGCCTAGTGTTCAATGCAGAGCAGACATGTCATCGGAAGAAGGACTGAGGGAAGGAAGGGTGGGCTCCTGGCTTCACTCTCGTCCCCTCTCCCTGCCCCTCAGCCACCCAGAATCACAGGGTCTCCCCACTTCCTTGTCTCCAGGCCTCCCACCCAGCCTCTTTACCTCCTTAACTCCTGCAGGACTCTGCTGAGATACCGTTCCCCCAAACCCCTCTGGGACCCGGTGCCAGATCAGGACTCCCCTGGTGCCCAGAGCCTCTGCGGGGTCCTGGCACTCGTCACACTGGATAACTGCTGCTCATCTGGCCAGCTGCCCTCCAGACCATCAGCTCCCGGAGGGCAGGACCAGGTGCGGCACATCCACGAAGGCCCAGGCTCCCCACCTGGCTCAGAGTTAATGGCCAACAACTTCTGTTTTATAATCCGAGGCACAGAAGGCAGAGTGAGGCTGGGTGAGTGGGGCACTGATTCCAGTCCTCTCGGAGGCGGCCCAGCACTCAGCTTCTGAGCTGGAACCTTCTGGCCCAAAGACAGGCTCCCTTCTAGGATGAGAAGGTCCTGGGCCGAGTCCCCCTCGCTGCCCATCTAGGGCTGGCTCCAGCCTTCTCACTTTAGAGGGACACTTCCCAGGCCCAGCCAATCACTGCTCTGGGAGCTGGAGCTGAATCAGATGCCGCTGGGCCAGGGTTGTCACTGGTGGAGACCAGAAGACTTCTCTCCCTCTAAAGAAAGGATTTACTCAGCAAGTCAATGGTGCAACCAGACGGTGGGTGGGGGAGTGGGAGATGGGAGGGGGCCCCTTGCTGAACTGACTTGAGAGAGGCCCGTTTATAATCAGCCGTCTCCATCTGCAGGCTGATAATTAATACACTCCTGCCCTTCCAAACGGTTCTCTTTTCATTAAAGTTGTCCCCATGAGGCCTCAGCTTGGCAACACTTTCCCAGCTGTTGGTTTGAGCGATCGTAAGCATGGAAGTTGAACACAACAGCATGATTTTAAAAGTAATTCAAACAATTTATAAAATTTGACACTACCCCACTCCCCAAACTGGGACCGGATTCGACTTTGAAATCTGAATTTCAGCACAGAATTTTGATGTCCTCTGGGTCATTATCCAGCACAGAAAACACGAGGCCATATTGGCTGGATCTCCCTTAGGTCCAAGACCTTGCACCTCTATGTCCCAGTTTCCTCCTCTGTAAAATGGGGTTTTCTGCTTGCTTCGTGGAGTTGTGTGGACTCAAAGAGATAAGAGAAGGTAAAACCCCTATCACAGGATCTGGGACGCATTCAGTGTTTCACAAATGTCAGTAGCTAATTACAGGAGACATCATTAATGTTTTTAACACAAAGGCAGCTTGGGGTAATGGAAAGGGAATTGATGTCAAAGTCAGATGCTTTGTACTGTGACTTTGCACCCATTATTTCTCTGGGCTTCACTTTCTCCATCTTTAAAATGGGGGTAAGAGTGTCTATCCCGCATTGATGTCATGATGGTTAAATAAAATCATGCCCATAAAGTAACAGGTGATGGGTTGGCAGTTGTTGGTGGATTTTGTTGTCAGTATTAAGGGGAACCAGGCCCAGAGAGGGCAAGGTCATGCCCAGAGTCACACAGGATGTGTTCTCGACGATGACCTCACCGGGGTTCTTACCCTAGAGTTCACAGACCCCTCAAAGTTCCATGGGTAGGTCAGAGGGTTCCAGAATGCAAAGTTGTAAGGATCTGTATATTTCTTTTGGGGCAAGTTTCAGAAGTTTTTATTAGATTCTCAAAGAGGACATGATCTCCCAAAGTTAAGGATCCTCTGTCTTAATTTAACCCCCTTCACTTACAGGTGAGGAGACTGAGTTGCAGAGAAGGCAAGTTCACAGGGCAAGTTAGAGGCTGGCCAGGACCCCACAGGGAGCAAAGCCCTCAGACGAAGGCCCCTTGCTTCTCCAGGAAGCCCTAGGGGGCGGTCCGTGGTTTTCAGTCCCGCTTACAGCTCTCAGTTGTTTAAGATCTGTTCACATCTGGCTGCTGAGTTGAATCCATCCCTTTCCAGGTGCAGGGAGGTTCTCAGGGTTCATCCGAGTTTGGGGGGAACTTGAGCATCATTCCCACATTTTTGAGAGGTGAGGCAGGCAGCCACACCCTGTTCAAGTAACAATGACCGTGTTGGAATGAGACAGGGTGGGAGGCGCTTCTAGTTTGGGGATTCGGGAAGGGCCCTGGGTGGGGGCGGGTGGTGAGTGTGAGGTGCCTGTGGGACCCGCAGGAGGGGAAGCTCGGCAGGGGAGGGGTACACGCTGGCACCCTGTGCTCCCCTCCCCCGTCCCACCTCCCCACTCCTCTGACCCTCCCCACCAGCCCTGTCTTCTAGGAGGGCCCTGACCTGTTGATAAGGCCCAGGGCCTTCCTGCCTTGAGTCGCTGCCTGAGTGTCTGATCTCACCTCACCTCTATTTCCTCCCATCTCGGAATCACAAGGAATCAGGCCAAGGGCCCTCTCCAGACACCCAGGAGTTTGCTTTTTCTTATTTCTAAACCAGCCCAACTTTCCACTCCTTGCCCCTCCGCCTTTTTTTTTAATCCACAAAGCTGCTTATGCAAATAGCACACACCACCAGGTTTGATTAATTAACTGCACAAAAATGATGGGGAAACCAGTGAAGGAGATAATTATGCAAAACAGAAAGTGTAAGATTTACCATTAGTTTTCTTCCCCCTCTGCACTCTGAGGACTGGGGGCAGGGGTCCTCACTTTCCCCCTCTAGCTGCTTGGTGAATGAGGGGCTCCCCAAGAAGTCCTGCTCACAAAGGTCAGGAGAGGGGCAGGCAGCTCGTACGTAGGGCGTATGAGCAGTGGGGGCGGGGCGGCTCACTGTCGACACACCTGCCGGGGGCCCTCCAGCCATCCTCAGATGTGCTTGTTGATAGAAACCCCCTCCCGCCTGGCTCCAAATCGTGCCCACTTCTTCTCTGTCCGGGTTTGCTTTTCCCTGCCTTATGCTGTCTTTCCACACCCTGAAATGGTAAGAGCTGGGGTTTGAGGTGGAAGTGGACAGAACAGATATTTTGGCCAGTTCGCAGGTGCACTCGGGCCAGCCCACCTTCGGAGGCAGAGGCGTTCTGGGGGGGCCCGTGTAGCCCCCTGACGCCCTCATTGGGGAGATCATAGAGCATTGAGGGGCCTCATTTATTGTCTTCTCCATCTTTCTATGGGAAGGCTGGCCCTGAGTGGGACTGGGCTGTGACCCGGACCCTGCCTAGTGACTTCCCGGGACCTGGCCCTCCTCACGCCTGGCCCGGCCTACAGCACGCACTTCCCCCTACTGTATGACGCCAAGTTCCGGGTGCCTTCCTCCCCCTCCCTGGCGGGCGCAGCGCGTGGCTCACCTCCTGCCGGCCTCGGCGTCGCGGTAGTCCTCGATGGCCAGCCGCAGCTTGCGCCGGTGCAGGGAGCTGCAGACCCCCAGCCCCAGCTCCAGGTCCTCGTCGCTCAGGCTCAGCAGCACCTGCTCCCGGGAGGTGGGGACTGAGCACCGGAAGGGAGGCTTGGGGGTGGGCACCCGAGGCCTCCGGGGCTGCTGCTGGCCGGGCTGCCTCTCCCCGTCTGGCTCCCCGCCGCCCGGCCCCCCGCAGTCAGGGCCCAGCGCCAAGGACACCTCCACAGCCGCCTGGCCTGGGCGCCGCTGCCCCGCGAGGCGGTGGAATCCCCGCTGGTCCAGCGCCCGCTCCCTTCAGCCAGGTAAACGAAGGCTAGTCCCATTTTAAAGATGAGACAGCTGAGGCTCAGAAGGGACATGTTGAGGAGATGTGACGATGTACTGGGGACCCTGGAGCCTGAACCCGGTTCAGCCAGCTCCTCAATTAGGGCTTCTCTAACCCCGGGGGTGGGGTGGGGGAGGGGCTGGTGAGACTCAAGGGCGGCGATGGGGGCATTCCCACGGGGGCCCGGAGGTGCCCTACCTTCCCACTCTTCACGTTCTCCGCACAGGCCTTGACGTACATGGGCATGGCCATGACCACCTCCAGCCAGGCCTGGACGGTACCCGCCTTCCAGTGGGACATGGGCGTGGTCCTGACCAGCTCCACCTGCTGCAGCCGGTCCACCTGCTCCTCGCCCTCGGACAGGCTGAGGCTCTGGCGCGTGGGGCTGCACTGGCTGTCCGAGTCTGCAACACACAAGCAGGAGTGGGGTGAGGGGGTGAGGGGCAGGTGGGGGCTGCAGCGGGCAGGGACTGGGCGGGCTGCACCCCCTGAGTCTGCACCCCCGGGGAGGTGCAGGAGGAGGGCAGGGATGTCTCCCTGCCCTGCATTTCTTCTTTTAGGAATCAAAATGGTTTTTACTTGTTTTGCTGCCCCTCCCCTTTGTACAAAAGCAATCTATGCCCTCTCCAAAGAAAAGAATTTGGAAAACTTCATCTAGAAAAGAATAAACGCAAAACAGAAAGTGAAAATCACCCCAAATCCCACGCTACCCAGAGGCAGCAGCTGCTAGCATTTAGTTGAATATTCTCTGGGATACACAAATGCCCACGCTTACAAACACAGATTCCCATGTTTGCACGGCGCGTTCCGTCTAGTAACACGCTGCTCTCATTTACACCGCGGAGCGCATCCTGCCCTCTCAGCAGACATCTGTAATATCTTTTGACTGCACAGGATTCATCAAATGGATGCTCCGTAATTTACTTCACCCACCTACTGTTGATGAGCCTGGGTTTCCCTCATTTTTCACTGTTGTAAACAACACAGAGGCAGTCATCTTTGGGCAACTGTGTGATTCATATTTCTAGGATAAATAGAGCCTCAGTTCTATTCCTTAACACACGGAAGCCTGTTTCTGGAATGGCCCTCGCAGACAAAACCATCCACCCACCAGCATTTTCCAATCCCATCAGCTGCGTCAGCACCTGGTAACACCAAGTTCAGGCGGTGAAGAGCCAATGGAGAAGGGAAAGGAATCTCTCAAAGTAGAGGTAAGTGAAAACCCAAACAGATCAGCTCTCAATACCATGAGAAATGACAAGTATTAAAAAAAAAAAAGCCTGATTCGAAATGACCCTACTGATAGCGTATATTACAAATTGTTATAACGAGGTAAAAAAAAAAAAGCCTCTCCATCAAATCGGGCACATAGTAAAACAATGGGTATGAAGAACACAAAGTTTCTTTTGGAGCTCGGAAGTGTGCGGTTATTTCTCACTTGCTATACCTTTGGGTACCATGGAAGTTCCATAATAAACATGGATACATTTACAATGGAAAAAATTGGAAAAGTCAAAAAATTAGGAAGCAGTATAAATGGTTATCGTTACAGTTTATCTGAATGAATGATGTTCCATTTGTATGTTGGAATATAGGCAATTAAGTTAAAAAATCTGCCACAGGAGAATATTTTTGACATGGGAAAACGTTCATAATCTATTGCCAAATGAAAAAGCACAGTATAAGATACCTGGTACAATGCTGTCCCAGCACATTAAAAAAATATATATGATATATATAATGTACAATGTGTATACATATGTGTAATATATGCATATATGTAACATGTCTCATATATGTATACGTATATAAAATACTGGATGGATAAATGTTGAAAAGTCTTTATCTCTGGAAAGGGGTGATGGGTAATCGTGCATGAATGTGGGTGTGTGAGTGTGCATTTGTGAGTGTGTGCATATTTTTTTGTTTCCCAAATTTTCTGCATTGCCTATATTATTTTTGAAATTGAAGAAAACCACAGCCTAGAAATCTTACTTTTCCAAGTTACAAAGCCCTTTCCCCCAGTTCCCTTGCCTCCCTCCATTTAAACGACTCTTTAGAGCTTGGTGACCACACGCTTCTCCCTCATCCCACCTCCAGCAAAACCTTTCTCCCCAACACCTGGGGGCCTCTCACTGCCCAGCCAGGAGCCCTACCTGACCTGGAGGATGTCACCCCCGGTCCAGCAGGGCCCTGGGCAGAGTGACCTCACTCTGGGTGGGCAGAGATGATGCCTCCTGCCTCGGTTTTCACCTCTGAAAGTTGTCACGGTGCTGCTCCTGCCCCCAGCCTCCTCCTCTGGGCTGCACTGTGGACTCAGTGACAGTGGGATGATGGGGCCTGTCTGCACTGGATGGGTGAGGGTGAGAGGTTACTGTAACATTATCATATTTCCCTTCTCAGGTGGATGGAAGGTGACCCCCGCCCCAGCCTGGGAAACAGCAGAGGGCACGACTGTGCAGGTCACCAATATGAGAACACATGTCGCCATGTTGCCCAGGAATGTGGAGACGGCAGCTGCCTCTGCAGCCCTGCTTGGGGGCTCCAAGTCCCTGCCTGGTAAGAGAGTTAGCTGCCCAGCTAGAGGCCCCCTCCTGCTGGAGCTGGACTCCCAAGGACAGGCTTGGTGTGCAAGGAAGCCTTTCTGGTTGGGTCCCAAAGGTGTTAACGAAAGGGCGTCCTCCTTAGGCTGGAGAGACCTGAGAACCTCTGCCTTGTTACATGCTTCTGGGAAGTCCTGTCTCTGTTACATACTTATGGGAAGATAAGAGAGGATGTGTGGCCAAAGCTGGTTACCCCAAATTCCAAGACATGTTGGAATTGTCCATTTGGACCAGCCCCGTGGGAAGAGACCTGGCTTTGGAATTGAACAGACCTTGACTTTAGGCAAATTCCTTAACTTCCCGCAGCCTCAGTTTTCCCATCTATAAAAATGGGTATAATAATACTAATACTATCTACCTTCTAGATTAATATAACTATTATAAATTCTGAGTGTGAAGCCATAGTAGGCATTCAGTCAAGGATGGCTATTGTTGGGAATAAAGTCCCCTGGGGCTCAGGCACTTTTTGGCGACACCTGGCAGTATTTGCCTCAGTCTCCCTGCATTCCTGAAGGAAACGTGGCTTGAGTTCAGCTCAGTTGCTTAGAGAGGGGACCCAGTCCCACTTGTTGTCAAGCCCACCTGGGCAGAAATTCATTGTCCCACCGGACTCCGGCCTGGTCCAGGTGGGAGGGGCGGGGCTGTCTGTGAGGTCAGGGGTGGATTTGTCTGTTCAGTGTCAAGGCCACTGGGGAGGGGGTGTGTTTGCAGTGTTTGGCTCTGTGTCCCCCGAGTAAGGAAGATCAAGGGGCATGGGAAGGGGAAAGACAGGAAGGAGAGAGATGAAGGGAGAGGGAGAGAGAATGGAAGAGACGCTGAAAGAGCACGTCCAGGAAAGGACTAGTGCCACAGAGACACAAAGACAGAAAGATCGACTGAGGAGAGGGGATGACAGAGAAGTGGACAAAGGGAAAAAGCAGACTTCCCGTGAGTGCGTATTTTCCTGAGCTCGGTGTGTCTCTGAGAGTGTGTGCGGGTTACTCTGGAGCTAACAGGCCCAGGCCTGCGAGGGGAGCTGGCTTTTTAATTCACATTATTTATGGCGCCCAGGCTCGAGGAATGCCAGAGGCCACTTTGGTTCATGTGAGCAACGTTTTGGCTTCTGAGAAAAGACAGCTCTTCACCAGCCCACCTCCTTCCCCGACCCCGCAGGACTGAACTCCAAGGAAAGGATGCTGCATGAAGACGGGGTGGGGAGTGGGGGTCTGTGGGGACATGAACCATTAATTAAAAGCAATTTCCAAAATGTAGGCATTATGGTGCCAGATATTATGTCTGGGATTCCATCAATTCTGGCTTTTATTTCCCCTCTGTCTCAGCCTTGAGAGTGGGAATAACTCATGTTTATAGCCAGGCAGCTCCGTGAAGGCTGTGGAGTTAGAGGGGCTGGTTGAGCCCCTGGCAAAGTCCGGAGAGGTGCCAACAAGAGGCAAACACTCCGGATCCTTCTGAACACCAGGAGGACCGTGGTGACCCTGGAAGGACAGGTTCTGCATCCTCTCCCCGACCCCAAACACATGCACGCACCACAGAACGTCAGCAATTGGTTACTGAGGTTTCCTGCAAATTGCTGGCCTAGCACAGGGGCTGGCGAACCGCAGCGTGAGGGCCAAGTCCAGCCCTCTCCTCGTTTTCCTAAATAAAATGTTACTGGGACACCGCCATGCTCATTTGTTCGCACATTGTCTAAGGCTGCTTTCCTGTTAACAATAGGAGAGCTGAGTAGTGGTGACAGATTGTCTGGTCCAAAACGCCTAAAATATTTACTCTCTGGCCTGAAAGATTACAGAAAATCCTCGACAGAAACCCTGAGGTTCCAAGATTGGCCTTGGACTCTGAGAGAGCTGGATTTACCAGCCAGAGGATGCTGGGGAGATATTTTCAGTTTTCCCAGCCTCGCTTTCCCTATCTGTGACATAGGGTGATAACAGGTCTATGTGAGGCCTGAGGGAGACCATACATACATGCGTGCAAAGTGCTGGGCCCGGTGTCTGGCCTACAGGGGGCGCTCAGTGGCTGAGTGGGGTCCTCTGACCTCTGCAGGCTCCTGTCACTCACAGTTGAGACTGGCTCTGTCCGGTACAGTGCGGTGAGCCCATGGTGAGCAGTGCCGACAGGACAAAATACACTCTAAATTCAGCAGAAAAGACACCCTGCATTTCGAAGACTTTGTACAAAAAAAAAAAAACTATCCATTCGTAGTTTTTATATTGATCACATACTAAAATGACAATATTTGGGGTATCCTGGGTTAAATAAAATATATATTATTCAGGATCATTTCACCCATTTCTTTTTACTTTTCAATGCCCCTACCAGAAAATCTAAGATCATGTATGTGGTTTGCAATATATTTTCACTGGGCAGAGAGGGTCTGGATGAAGATTTTTGTTTGTTCATTTTCTTGTTCTGGTATCCCCCTCTGTTGGTTTGGAAGTTAAGCCTCCTATTTCTCTGTTTTTGGTCCAGTGGTTCTGGAAGCATGGTCTCTGGGCCAAGAGGAGCAACAAAACCTGGGAACCTGTTAGAAATGAAAATTCTGGGAGTCCGCCACAGAACTGGGACAGAAACTCTGCAGGGGTGGGGCCCAGTAATCTGTGACTGAACAGGCCCCCCAGGTGATTCTGACATATGCTCAAGTTCTAGAACCTTCTTTAATAATTACTCTTGAAGTCTTACTGTGCCTGTTTAACTCAACAGAACCTCGGGTCGAGCAATACCTTAACGTCCTCTACTAAACAGGATAATTCTTTTTATTGTCACAGTTTATTGCCATCATGATTACCTTATACTGAGAATAT